CTGCTGAGCAGGGAGCCCAATGCAGGGCTCGATCCCGGGACTCCAGGATCATGACCTGAGCCGAAGGCAGTCGCTTAACCAACTGAGCCACCCAGGTGCCCAGTAGATGACTTTTAAAATGTTGTCCAGGGGGCGCCTGGATGGCTCAGTCATTAAGCGTCTGCCTTCGGCTCAGGTCATGATCCCAGGGTCCTGGGATCAAGCCCCGCATCTCGGGCTCCCTGAGCGGCAGGAAGCCTGCTTCTCCCTCTCCCTCTGCCCCTGCTTGTGTTCCCTCTCTCGCTGTCTGTCAAATAAGTAAATAAAAATCTTTAAAAAAAAATTAATGTCCAAGTCTGGACCACCTCTTTAAAAAAAAATTTTTTTATTTATATGTGTGAGGGGTGCCTGGGTGGCTCCGATGGTTAAGTGTCTGCCTTTGGCTAAGGTCATGATCTCCAGGTCTTGGGATTGAGCCCCATGGTCGGGCTCCCAGCTCAGCAGGGAGTCTGCTGCTTCCTCTCCCTCTGCCGAGATCTTCTCTGCTTGTGCTCTCTCTCTCTCTCCCTCTCAAATGAATAAATAAAATCTTTTTTTTAAAAAGGATTTTATTTATATATTTGAGAGGAGGGGAGAGAGAGCACGAGTGTGGGGAGGGGCAGAGGGAGAAGCAGACTCCCTATGGAGCAGGAAGCTATATGTGCCCGAGACCAGGACACCAGAATCGTGACCTGAGCCGACGTCAGACGCTTAACTAACTGAGCCACCCAGGCGCCCCAAGTCTGGACCACCTTTTGGGAAGGTGACAATGTGACCCATGCAGAGACCCCAGTACCTGAGTCCGTGATAGTTTTTGTTGTTGATGCCACTATCTTCTGGGCCCTTGTCTGGCTTAGGGGGACATCACTACTGTGGTACAAGGGTGACATCAAAGCCAGGTCGGTTCGCCTAGTGGTCACCTGTGAGGGAGAGTGGTACTTCCCCAGCCAGGAACCAAACCATTTCTGGGCTAGCTTTTTGCTGGAGTAGTTGGAAGTAGGCCTGGGTGTGAAATGATAGTGTATGGCATTTTTTTCCCCAGAATTTTCCATTTCATAGGCACTTCAAACAAAAACACCCGAACGCCTGTGTGTTCTCCACCTTTTTGAACGATGAGCATGGACGTGTTTTTGCCGAACCATTTGTGAAAGGAAGTGGGATATGTTTGGCACTCCACGTCTGAGCTCCTGAGTGCACTTTTATTTTCTTTTTTTTTTTTAAAGATTTTATTTATTTATTTGAGAGAGAGAGAATGAGAGAGAGCATGAGAAGGGAGAGGTCAGAGGGAGAAGCAGACTCCCCGCTAAGCAGGGAGCCCGATGTGGGACTCGATCCCGCGACTCCAGGATCACGACCTGAGCCGAAGGCAGTTGCTTAACCAACTGAGCCACCCAGGTGCCCCCTGAGTGCACTTTTCCTGAAGTGTCATTAGCTCCTGGTAATAGAGGGACAAAGAGCGTAAGGCCGGGTGATGTGGGGCTCTTCAGATTTCCCCACTTAAACTGTGTGGTAAAGCCGTCAGGATCGAGGCCCGTGCATTTCATCTGGTGCGCGTGCATGTCCTCTTCCATTTCTCAAGCTAGAAGTTTCCCCACCTTTTGCGGATTTTTCCATAATCTCAGCTCTTTGAAGAGTCCAGGCCACTTGTCTTCTGTGGGGTGGTCCGTAGTCTGGATTTGTCGACCCTCATGGTTTCACTTGACTTGCTCTTCTCCCTCCTCTGCTGGGCCTTCTGTGAAAGGGCCTGGGTGCCTGGATTAACAGAAGCTCGGGATGCAAGACAAGGACACTGTCGTGGGTCTGGGCGAAGTGTTCAGTTATTCCAAATGATCAGTCTGTCTTCAAGCCTCACTTCTCTCCTCTCTCCTTCCTAGGACTGTGAGGAATGTATCCAGCTAGAGCCCACCTTCAGTAAGTGCTTTTCTGCCACTCCTCCCCCATCCCTCGACACTGGCGCAGAGATGGAGAGTGGGAGAGGACGTGCTTGCCCCCCCGTTGTCTCGGGGCTGGTGGCCGTTAGGACCTAGCATCCGCGGGCGAGACGGATGTTGGGGTTCCCATGGGAAGGTGGAAGTGGCATCCTGCAGAGCTGCGTTCTGATGACGCCTCACCTTTCTCTGCAGTCAAGGGCTACACCCGGAAAGCGGCCGCCTTGGAGGCGATGAAGGACTACACGAAAGCCATGGACGTCTACCAGAAGGCCTTAGATCTGGACTCCAACTGTAAGGTGGGGCTGCTCTTGGCTGCCAGGGGGCTCTCTCCTGCCTCCATTTCTCCTTTGGGTCTTCTCGGTGTTGGTTTGCTGCTGCTTGCCTCTTGCCTGTTTCTCCGTCTGTCTGTCTCCCCCCTTCTCAGTTCCCTTTGTTACCTTGGCCCTGCTGAAGCAGCGAACTGGTCAGTGCTCACGCGCCCCTTTCTGGCTTTGCTGGGAGGCAGGAGGCGGCGGACGGTTACCAGCGCTGTATGATGGCCCAGTACAACCGCCACGACAGCCCCGAAGACGTGAAGCGACGGGCCATGGCCGACCCTGAGGTGCAGCAGATAATGAGTGACCCGGCCATGCGGCTCATCCTGGAGCAGATGCAGAAGGACCCCCAGGCGCTCAGCGAGTAAGTGGAGTTGGGGGAGACGGAAGAGGGGAAGGTGAGCTGCGAAGTGGCCCGAGCTCTGGGGGGGTTACTGTGTATGGCTTGCTTACAGCTGAAAAGGCGGGCCGCAGCTGGTGAGCTGGAAGGGCTTCGTGGCTGTGTTTGCCCCGATCGCTTGAGCGGTCTGTTGGAAAGACCAGTTTTGCAGGGAGAGCGGCTTCGGCTTCAAGCTGTGTCCGCGGTTCGTGCGGGGCGGGGCGGTGCTGCCCACGGGCCAAGGCCTCCGCAGAGCCGTCTTAGCCAGGACTCCTGCTTGGCCGCCTCCTGTTGGGCCTTCCGCAGGGTTTGCATTGGGGTTGCTCCAAGAGCAAATAAGACCTTTGTAGGTTAAGTCTCGTGTCTCATAACTTTGCTTTTTGTTCATTAGACACTTAAAGAATCCTGTAATAGCACAGAAGATCCAGAAGCTGATGGATGTGGGTCTGATTGCAATTCGGTGATGACTTGCTCATCATCCCCTTCCCTTTGCCCTCATGTGGAAAGAGGAGCTGGGACCGCAGCTAGCAGCGCGGAGCAGAGGGGAGAGCAGGGGAAAGTGAACAACTTCTCTCTATATATTTATATAGACCTATGTGGAAGATACAGAGACTCGTATTCACGTTACTCGCACCGCCGCTGCCTCTGGGCCCTCCCAGCACACGCATGGTCTCTTCCGCTGTCCTCGGGTTCCCTGTTCCCTTCCCTGCCCTCAGTCGCCGTCTCAGCTGCTCTCCCATAGTTGGTTATTTTTTATTTGGGGCAGTGGGCATGTGTGGGGAGGGGAGGCTCTTCTCCCCCAACCTCCGGGCCAGCTGTCTTCACATTGTTAACTCCACGTGCCCTTCTCCAATAAAACAAGCCAGTCGGGCGTGGTTATACATTGTTATGTCCTTGTGATTTTTTTTGCCAAGTGACCCTGAAGTGGTTGCCCCATAGGGGTTACAACCTGGAGTGTGCGAGAGGTGGAAGTGTCAGCTGGGCACCGGAACCTCTTCCTTTCCAAGGGGGCGGATCAGTGGCACCTCAGCATGCTTCGGTCACTAGGTGGCACTGTTGCCCAACGAGCTGCTGAAAGGGAGCCTGGGGCCTTCCGACCCTAACTCCAGAGGTTCAGGTCAACATTCTGGCGCTTCCCACATCGTTCATCACACTCTCATCTCAGAACCAGAAACCAGCTAAATGGAGGGAACACTGGGTCCCACCCAAGAACAAAAACGTTTCCTATTGGTAGTGTTCAGATCTCTTGGGAGACCATCTCTGTCAGCTGCTCTATGATAGTTTTAGTCTTTAAAGAACTTGCTGCTCTCAAGGCACCTGGGAGAATCGGTTGGTCATCCGACTCTCGGTTTTGGCTCAGGTCACGGTCTCAGGGTTGTGGGATTGAGCTTCTCGTCAGGCTCCATGCTCAGCGGGGAATCCGGGTTCTTTCTCTCTGCGCATGCATGTTACCTCTCTCTCAAATCTTAAAAAAAAAAACAACCACTCACTTCTCACACTTGGCTCTTTGCTCAGAGGAGGTTCCTCTGTACCTTCAAATCCGGGTTCATCCCACACCAGCTGCCTCCACTGAGCTGCCTAAAGTTCAACCCCAGCATCAAAGTCCTGTACCCGAGGTGCTCGGTGGGGGTACTGTGTCTGCCCTGGCCCCCCGTCAGTTGGCCCCACTGTCACCAGAAAAGGTCGGTGGTGACATTGCCAAGGCAGCCAGTGATTGGAAGGGCCTGAGAATGACAAACTTGAGGACAGGTCCAGATCCAGGCGGGACCTGTTGCTGCTGTCCCGATAAGCAGAGCCTCAAGGAACCCCCAAGAGACAGAAGCAGAAAAACATTAAGCCCAGTCCAAATTATCACTTCTGATTTATCAACATTGCCTGACAGATATAGCACCAGTCTCGAGCTAGAGAGTTCTCTGGAACCATTAAAGAGGTCCTGGAGACTGCCCAGTCCGTGGGCTGTGGTGCAGCAGGGTGCCCAGCTGGTTGAGAACTACCAAGGAACATCCTTCAATAAAGGATCATTTGACAACCCAAAAAACCCCTCACGGCTCAACTGAAAGCTTTCTAATTACACTTCGACATGGTTGCAAGCAAGCTATTTCTAAAACCCTGGACTGGGGTGGGAGTAAAACTTCCTCTTTTGCTCCAACAGCGCAGCTTTCTGAGCTAGGAAGCTGCTGAGGCCAGCAACTGGCTGTACTTCCTGCCGCCTTGACTTTGCATAAGCTGGCTTTCCCGGGGGAATCTTCCACCGACCCCTTCCTCTATCTGGGCAGCAAGGTCAGAAATCCTCATCTCCACGGGCCATTCTGCTGCTCTTGGGTGCAGCTGACACTCTTCAGGCTCTATTCCCTCCGGCCCCAAACGGATTCTCTCTGGGAAGCCTCGATTCCTGCCGGGAGCCAGCAGGGAGCATCAGGCCTCTGCTCTACCAAAGCTGACCTCCCAGTGCAGGCGATGGGACCCTCCAGGGTCACATTTGAGTAGGGACTTGACGGGCGTGACCCTTGGGTTACTCGGGGTGAGCCAGAATGTCACACGGAGGGACGGAGGGACAGAGGGGAGGCGGCAGGTTGGAAGCCTTAAGCCCTGGAGGCGTGGGGCCAGGAGGTTGTGAATGACCAGGGGCCAATTCTGGTTCAGCTGTTGCCTCGGGCGGCTCGAAGGTTTACGTGTTTGGAACTAGAGGCCCTAAGGAAACACTTAAGGAAGCTGTTTGCCTCGGGGTCTTCTTCAAGGATCTACTTGTTGGTGATAAGGGACCTCCCGGGCTGGAGCTCCCTTGAACTTCCAGCTTCCTAAATCACCTGGGTCCAATCCTTTCAGCTGCACGGCTCTTCCTCCTGACAGCACAGTGACGTGCCATGGCCCAAAGCCCCCCACACCCCCCAACTCTGTGACAGGCTGGAGATGGGAGGTGACTTCCTCCTGGGGACTCTGGGTGTAGAGAACATGAGTTGGTGACTTCCCTAGTTCGAACTGAGCTGCTTCCCTCCAGACGAGGGGACGCTCCGTGTGGTGGTGGGACCCCGGCCGGCTCCTCCCTTGCTTCCTGTGCTCCCCGGGAACAAAGGTGGGGCCACAAACGGGAGCCCTGGGCAGCCTGCTGGCAGTTCGCTTCCTGCACCCAGCGTGGGCCCTCCCTGGGGAGGGGCTGAGCCCGCCCTGCTCATGATAAGGCGCAAGGGCTGCCCTCCGAAGAAAGCTCCAAAGAGAAAGCAAAGGGGGAAGGAAGCACTCACTGAGCTGCAGGTGTTTAGACTGAGGCCAGGAGTGGCTGACACTCCAACCCCTCCGCACCTGCAGCCCCCAAACCCTTACAGGCAAGGTAAGCTGGGGCGGCGGCTGAAGGCCCAACCACCTTGTCCTCACCCTCCTGCAGCCCCTCTGCCCTGCATGCCTCTCTCCATGCGGCACCCTGGACTTCTCACGGCCCTAGAGAGGCCTTGGCTGGCTTGGGATGTCTGGATCCGGGCTTTGGGCCAGGAGAGGGAGTATTTTCTGATTTGGGTCCCCCACCATTTCCAGGGTGGGCAGCTGCCAGTGTGGGTTTGGGGGTGAAATGTGGGCTGGGGAGGCAGATGGAGGTTGTGCCAGGCTCTGGCATCAAGCTGGGTGATCTTGAGTGAGCCCATTTCTCACTCTTTCCGGGCCTCGGTCTTCCTGTCTGTAAGATGGGAGTGGGTTGGACAGCCCCGTGCAGCTAGACCACCGGAAATGGTGAGAGGGCCTGAGGTTTGCCTGGACCAGCTCAGCGCCCGTGTCTCGCTGCTGCCATGACATCCTGGCTCACCGGCATGCTCTCTGCTCCCCTGCCTGTCCAGGTCACCACAGGGTCACTTCTACTTGAACGTGGGCAGCCTACAAGGCCCCGGCCCCCTGCCCGCCGTGCCTCCTTCCCAGCCTCCGGAGAGCCGCCACAGCCATGGCGGGGATGAAGACGGCCACCGGCGACTACATCGACTCGTCCTGGGAGCTGCGGGTGTTCGTGGGAGAGGAGGACCCGGAGGCCGAGTCTGTCACCCTCCGGGTCACAGGGGAGTCGCACATCGGCGGGGTGCTCCTGAAGGTCGTGGAGGAGATTAGTGAGTGTCCCACTGCCCGCGCTGCTGACCTCAGCACCACGGGGCGGCTGTAACTGGGTCTGCGGGCACTTCCCGGCCGCCCAATGGGCCGCACTCGATAACCCCGCCACAGTGACTCAGGCACCCGCTTAATCATTTGGTCCCAAAACAGACATTTCCCCAACTTCCCCTCCCTCCCGCAATCTTCCCCCTCTTCCTCCCACTCCAGCTGGTTCTGCTGAGTCCCCAAGGAGTCTGTTCACCCACTTCTGGGGGCAGGAGGGGCCTGGCCCGGGCCAAGGCAGAGGCTATATTCGAGGTCTTGGGGGAGAGCAGGGGACCTGGGGGCTGGCTGCCATACCGTGTCCCCGGGCCGGAAGCCCTCCACAGGCTGGTGACGGGCCTAGCCTGGGTAGGAAGGCCCTGCCCCCACAGGAAGTTACAGCAGAACAGCCTGTGGCGTCAGGCGTGGAGAGGAGCAGGGCTAGTGACATGCGGGCTTCCCATCCCCTTTCCCTGCCGGGGGTCGGGGCTGCCTCTTCCTGGGAGGGTGGCAGGCACACCCCGATAGGCAGAGCCAGGGGGCCCCTGGGTCCTGGGCCATCTGCAGGCTTCCTCAGAGCCAGCCAACCCACCACGTGCAGCCTGGGAGGCAGGTTGGCTGGCTTGTGGACAGACGGGGCCCCGGGAGAGCCCGGCCACAGGCCTGAGGTAGTGAAGGAGCTTCCAACAGGCAGGGCCCGAGGAGGCTGTGAAAGCAGAAGTGGGAAACAGAGGGTCCCTCAGGAGACTGGGCGTCAGGCCAAGCTGCAGACAGGCCTGGGCTGAGCTAGAGCAGAGGGGGTGAAGAGACGGGGCCCCAAGGGAAGACCTGGTTGCCTCCAGGGCAGGGCACACGAGCCGTGCAAGAGGCCTAAATAAAGAGTCAGTCAGTTAGAGCTGATCCCCCAACCCGCTGCTGGGTCCCCCCAGGAGTAAATCCCTTCAGCTCCTGTCCCCTGCAGTGGGGACACTGACCCTACCCTTCCTAATCCCGCTCATTCCTGAGTATATCAGATGTCGACTGAGGCTCCGTCAAGCCAGACCCCACGTTATACCAGCCCCTGCCTTCGTGGAGTATGGCCAGGCGGGTGAGGCGGACCCTCCACTCCCAGCACGGGGCTGAACGCCAGCCTCAGCGCAGGGGGGGGAGAGAGCACAGGGCCTGGAGCCAGAGGGGCTGCCCGCAGCCGGGACGGGGAGACTCCCTAGGAGAGTCCCAAGAGGGGCCACAGCATGCGGGGGGCAAGGCGTGATGTTGGCACACGGGGGTGTTCTGAACTGGGGCCTCCAGGCCAGGGAGAACAAGAAAAGAGATTGGGGTGGCTGCCATTAGGAGTTGAGACTACTGGAGGTGGGAGCGGCCACCGAAGGGTTTTCAACCACTTACATCTAGACCGGCCCCTCGGGGAGGGGTGGGCTGGAGGCAGGGAGACAAGTCCTCCAATGGCGGGCAGTGAGGACAGACAGGAGGGTGGATTTTGGAGATGAGATTGGCATCGATGAAACGTGGTGGCTACACTTGGAAAGGATAGTGCTCAGGCCTGACGGGGAAGTCCTGTCGCCCAGCCCCCAGATGCCCTGCAGAGGAGCCAGCAAGGAGGGAGAAGGGCCTCCGTCCAGGGTCAGGCAGAACGAGTTTCCCGCGTGCCTTGGGGGCTGGAAGTAGGAGTTACTGCATTTCTGTCCCAGAGGCAGGCACGTGGCCTGGTAAACATGTCTCTGGAGCTACTGAAGCCGGTGGGCATGTCCTTTTGCCCCTGGCATGTGGGTTTCTGGCCTGGGGCCCAGGGCAGGGCCTGGTCCTGAGGTATGGTGTGTTTGGGGATGGAAGCAGGAAGATGAGGCCGTGGACCAGGCAGGACCCCTGGGAAGAGGCCAGGGTGGCGGAGGAAGGGAATCAGAACCAGGGAACGACAGGAGCAGGCCAGGAGAAGGGGCCAAGGAGGACAAAACAGGAGCCAAATGTCAAGAGGAGATGGGGGGTGGGTGCCGCAAAGCCAGAACAGAGTGAGGGCAGCGGCTCCAAGGACTCTGAGAGGTTGGCCAGATTGAGCCAGAGAATCTCTTGCGTTTGGCACCTCCAGTGACATTAGGGAGGGAGGAGGGGGGAGGGCAGCAAGAGACAGACCACTGGCGGGGAAGGGCTTTGCACACTCTAGAGAGTTGGTCCAGCCTTTGTCTTTGTGCTCACCATACACCAGCCCGCACTCCTGGACGGAGACGTGTCATCTGTCACTAGCTGCAGTACGAGAGCAGTGTTCGTGGTTCGGACTGAATCCTCACTCGTGGGCGTTAACCTTCCACAGACACTGGAACAGGCGAGGTTCCATGTCCACAGGGTTGGAATGATTACTGACATCTCACGAACTACAAAATCGAGGCCCTGAGAGCTGAAGGCCTTGGCCAAGGGCACAGAACGTGTAACCGAGAAACGTTTCTGGAGGGCCTGCTGTGACCGGCACAGCCCCAGGGCCCCAGCAGAGCCTCAGCCTCCCGGGATCCTGGGAAAGCCGGGGAGAGGCCAGTTAGCCAGGAATTAGGGGTGGTGCTATTCGGGGCAGCCCATGGGCCGGGGTGCTTGAGGTGGAGGTACTTGGATTCTGGGTGGGGGACTCCCCTGGGGAGAGATGCCACGACTGAGCCCCGCAGAATGAGCAGGGTGAGCCAGCAGAGAGCCTTCCTGCCGTGACCTCAGTCCTTGACCCCGAGCCAACCCAGCCTGGCCCGCGCTGGCCTTGGCTGGTGCTCAGCACCGGGGGCCGGGCCCTCTGGGGCTGACGTGCCCCTGCTTCCCCGTGGCCCCACAGAGCGCAAGCAGGACTGGTCAGACCACGCCATTTGGTGGGAGCAGAAAAGACAATGGCTGCTGCAGACGCACTGGACGCTGGACAAGTATGGCATCCTGGCCGACGCCCGCCTCTTCTTCGGGCCCCAGCACCGGCCCATCATCCTGCGGCTGCCTAACCGCCGGGCCCTGCGCCTGCGAGCCAGCTTCTCCCAGCCCCTCTTCCAGGCCGTGGCCGCCATCTGCCGCCTCCTCAGTGAGTCCCCTGCGGGTCCCCGCTCTCCCAGCCCGGCCAGGGTCTCCCCACGTTACTGGCCCAGCCATTGTCACATGGGCCTTGCAGTCCTGTCCCCGATCCGGCCTGCAGGGCTGTGACCTGCCCCAGAGTACCCGGGAGGCGGGCGGGAAGGTTCCAGGGCAGGACCCCGGCCCCTGCTGAGGTCCCAGCTCCCCTCAGGTATCCGGCACCCTGAGGAGCTGTCTCTGCTCCGGGCTCCTGAGAAGAAGGAGAAGAAGAAGAAGGAGAAGGAGCCGGAAGAGGAGTTGTATGACTTGACCAAGGTCGTCCTGGCTGGGGGTGAGCACACGCTGGGCAGGCCAGGGGCTGGGCGCTGGCACCGGGTCCCCCAACCCCCCACCCGCAGCCGGGGCTGGGGGCTGGGCCTGTCTAATCCTGTCCCACGCTCCAGGCGTGGCACCTGCATTGTTCCGGGGGATGCCAGCCCACTTCTCAGACAGCGCCCAGACCGAAGCCTGCTACCACATACTGAGCCGGCCGCAGCCGCCGCCGGACCCCCTCTTGCTCCAGCGCCTGCCTCGGCCCAGTTCCCTGTTGGACAAGACCCAGCTCCACAGCAGGTGGTCTGCCTGCCTGCTCTGCAGCCTGGGGCCCTGTCCCCTTGGGTCTGAGCTCCCACTGCCAGGGCCCACGCCCTCCCCTGTACCCTTACCCCAAATCCATACCTCCTGTTTCCAGGCCTTTCTTAAATGTGTGCTTGCCCTTGATCAAGGCCCCCCCCCCCCTGCCCAGCCCCCTGCCATGCCCCAGCACTGTACCTGCGTCAGCTCTGACCTCTGCCCATGCTATGGCCCAGGTGGCTGGACTCCTCGCGGTGCCTCATGCAGCAGGGGATCAAGGCCGGGGACATGCTCTGGCTGCGCTTTAAGTACTACAGCTTCTTCGACCTGGATCCCAAGGTGGGCTGGGACAGGGGACAGCGGGGGTCTGGGTCAGTGAGACATGGGGACTTAGGGTCAGGGGTCTGGGTCTGGGAACGTGAGAGACTAGCAGGGCGTCTGTCCATCTATCCATTGCCTCATCTGCACTCCTGTTTCTTAACTCCACCACTGTCTGGGCAGTGTAGACAAGGGCAGGCGCCCCTAGGAAGCCTGCTCAGGTGGGAGATGCCTCCCACCTAGACTCAGAGAAGGCTTCCTGGAAGGGGTGACACTGGGATCTGCAGGTTTGGGGTGGGCGAGGGATGAGGTTTGCAGGCAGGGGCTGTGTGCATCTCTCCCTCCCTGCCTACCGTCCCTCCTGGCAATCAATCCATGGGCTCCATGCAGCCCTCTCAGAAACCATCAGACCCCACAGGCGCTCCCTCGCCTGTGACCCTTTTCTCTCCCCCCTTTACTGCAAAACTTCTAAATGCCATTGTTTACCGAATCCTTGGAATCTAGTCCTTGCTCCCCAGAATCCTGCCCCCTGTTTCCAGGTCTTTCCTGTGGGTGCTCCCGGACTCCCTCTCTCTCCTCAGCCAGATTTATCCTGGCATCTTCTGTCCCCATCCACACACAGGAAGGACACCTGCTGAGGTGACCATGCCTGCATGCTCTCTGTCCCCTGCTCTCTTCCCTCCTGCTTCTTACTAGGCCACTTGTGACCCCCACAAGCTTGGGGGGGTCTCCAGATGCCTGGTCCAGGCTCCCCCCACTCTTCCTCCTGTCTCCACAGCCTCTGGGGGTTGGCAAACCCAGAAGGCCCTCCCCAGCCATCCTTATCCCCTTGCCCGTTATAGCTCCCAAGTATGTAATCTCTAGTGCAGACCTTCTCCCCTGAGCTCTAGACTTGAGTGTCCAGGTGGCCCAGCTCTGCTCACGCATCTAACAGGCATCTCGGACTCCTGCCTGAACCGGAAGTTGTGATCCCCAGCCTGCGCAGCACATCCTCCCACCTTTCATGGATTCATTGCAAAAGCTTTCATGGATTCGTTGCTTACGCCATTCTGGATCCTTCCCTTTCCTTCCTACCTCATCCATCTATCCATCTCTGTGCCCTGTTCATCCTCCCTTGAACTAAAATCCCAAACCACCCATTCTTCTCTGTCTTTTCATCTGTCCATCTGTCCGGGGGCCAGCCCATGTCATGTTGCTTAGCACACGCCTCCTAATGCCCCTCTCTCCCCTCTTGGCCTCTCCAAGCTCCACACCATGTCTGGAATGAACAGACACGAGGTCATGTCACTCCTGTGGCTGCCTGTGGCCCCAGCTGCCGAGCCCCCAGGCCCCTGCCTGATTGGGTCCCTGCCCATCTGTCCCCCCTCCCTCTCTTCCACCCTCGGCCCCTTCCTCTCCCGCGGACTTTATTGTCCCCATCCCCAGCTCTTCCTGCCTTACTTTGGGTTGAGTGGTTTTCATGATTCCATTTTATCTCCTTTATATTAATTTATTAGCTATACTTAAAAAAAATGGTTTTGGTGGTTGCTTTAGGGGCTCTAGCACACGCACGCTATTACCACCCAGTAATACTCTAGCGCTTCTGCGTGAGAAACTTCCAACAGGGCACTTGTGTTTCCCCCCTCGGCCTCTACATTCCTCTTATCACACACTTCAGTTCTGCAGGTGTCAAAACCCTCAAGACACTGTCATTCTTGTTGCTGTCATTATTCTTACCACGGCTGTATTGAGAAATAATTCATATACCATATCATCTGCCCATTTAAATGGACAACCCAATGGTTTTTAGTACATTCACAGAGTTGGGCAACCATCAGCACAATCAGTTTTAAAACATTTTCATCACCCCCAAAAGAAAATCATACCCATCAACAGTCATTCCCCATTTATCCCTTACCCACGGAGCCCCAGACAACTCCTAATCTCCTTTCTGTCCCTGTAGATTTGCCCATCCTGGACATTTCCTATAAATGTGATCATACAGTGTTTGGCTTTTTGTGTCTGGTTTCTTGCCCTTGGCATTATGTTTTCCTATTTTAGCATGTTTCAGGGTTTCATTCCTTTTTACTGCAAAATAGGATATCATTGTAGGGATATACCACATTTTATTGATCCATTCAGCAATTAATAGACATTTGGTTTCCATCTCCCCACCCACGTGTTGGCTATTATGAATAAGGCTGCTATGAATACTCATGTGCAAGTTTCTGAGTGGTCATATCTTTTCATTTCTCTTAGTGTAGACCTAGGAATAGAATTGTTGAATCATTATCGCTATTACTTTTACTTTAACCCGTCAATCATTTTTTTGGTGGAACTTTTTGTTTTGAAATAACTGGAGATTCCCAGGCAGTTGTAAGAAATAATTCACAGAAGGTGCCTGGCTGCCTCAGTGGGTAGAGCATGCGACTCTCACACTCAACATTTCCTGTGCTCTTTATTCCCGCGTATAGATCCACATTTCCAGCTGGTCTCATTTTCTGTCTGACCTGAAGGACTTCCTTTAACATTTCTTGTGGTGCTCATCTACTGGTGATGATTCTTTCAGCTTTTGTATGTCTGAATCAGTCATTATTTTACCTTTGATTTTGAAAGATGTTTTAACTCGGTGTAGAATTCTTGGGTGACGGTTTGTTTCTTATGGTACTTTATTTACTTATTTTTAAGATTTTATTTATTTATTTGAGAGAGCGTGTGTGCAAGAGAGAGAGTGCACAAGTCAGGGGAGAGTGGCAAAGGGTGAGGGAGAAGCAGACTCCCCACTGAGCAGGGAACACAACGCATGGGGCTCGATCCCTGGACCCTGGGATCATGACCTGAGCCAAAGGCAGACGCTTAACCGACTGAGCCACCCAGGAGCCCCATCACTGGTTCTAAACAGTGTGATTATCATATGCCTTGGTTCTCTTTAGGTTTTTCATGCTTAGGGTTCAGTGAGCTTCTTGAATCTGTGAATTGATAGTTTGCATCAAATTTGGAAAATTTGGGGTTGTTATTTTTTCAGGTTTTTTTTTCCCTCCCTCCCTTGATGGGATTCCAACTGCATTAACTATTAGACTGCTTAGCATCATCCCACAGCCCACTGATGCTCTGTTCGTTTCTTTTTTTAGGTCGTTTTTCCAGTCTTATTTTTCTGTGTTGCATATTGAGTAGGTCTCTTGCTCTGTCTTCAAGTTTACTAATCTTTCTTCTGCCATGTCGAATCTGCCATGGATTTCATGCCTACAAGTTTAACTGTGACCTTTTTAATAGTTTCCATGGCTCTCCTTAAAATGCTCCTGTCTCTCTACCTGTTGAACACACATGATGTATTTGTAGTAACTCTTCATGTTTTTATCTACTAATTCTGTATCTAGTGATTCTTTTCTTGATTTGTTTCTATAGACACTCCCCTCATTATGACTTGTATTTTTCTGCTTGTTTTCATGCCTGGTCATTTTTCCCCCTTTATTTTTGGGGGAGAGAGAGCATGAGCAGGGTGAGGGGCAGAAGGAGAAGCAGGCTTTCTGCTGAGCAGGGAGCCCAATGCAGGGCTCGATCCCGAGACTCCGAGATGATGACTTGAGCCGAAGGCAGATGCTTTTTTTTTTTTTTTTTAAGATTTTATTTATTTATTTGACAGAAAGACAGCGAGAGAGGGAACACAAGCAGGGGAGTAGGAGAGGGAGAAGCGGACTTCCCACTGAGCAGAGAGCCCAATGTGGGGCTCGATCCCAGGACCCTGGGATCATGGCCTGAGCCAAAGGCAGACGATTAAGGACTGATCCACCCAGGCACCCCCCCGAAGGCAGATGCTTAACCGACTGAGCCACCTAGGTGCCCCTTGTTGTTTTTTTCTTTTTGTACCTGATAATTTTTTTCTGATGCCAGACAGACACTACAAATTTTATATTCTTGGGTGCTAGATTTTTTTTCTACAGTCCTTTAAGTATTTTTAAACCTTGTTTAGGGATGAAGTTAAACTACTTGGAGACAGTTTGATCCTTCCAAGGCTTGCCTTGAATGTTAATTAGGCAGGACAAAAGCATCCTCTAATATAGGGCTAATTTACCCCATTACTGAGGCAATTGCCTTCAGAGGACTCTATCTAATGTGCCATGCATCATGAGGCTTCTCTAATCTGGCTTTTGGGAGTGTGAACTATTTCCACCCTTAAGTGAGCTCTGGTAAATGTTCCATCTGCTCCTTTCAAGTTTTGTTTTGTTTTTGTTTTTGTTTTTATCAGCCTTGGGTAGTTTCCTTACACACATACACTGATCAGTGCTTAGCTAAAGACTCAAGAAGAGCCCTCTGCTGATCTCCAGAGCTTTGTCTCTGTGCAGCTCTCTCCTCTACAGGACTCTGTCCTGTGAATTCTAGCTGCCTTGGACTCACCAAATGCTCAACTACATTTCTTAACTTGGGGAATATGCTGGGTTCTATTTGGGGTCCCCTTCCCTGTGCAACTCTCTCTGGGCAACAAGCTGGGGCAATCAGGATTCACCATGTTTGTTTCCCTTCTGTCAGGGATCACTGTTCTGTGTGGTCTCTTGTCCAATACCTAAAAACCACTGGGTCTTTGTTGCTCTCTTTGTTTTTTGTGTGTGTTTTTTTTTTAAAGATTTTATTTTTAAGTAATCTCTGCACCCAACATGGGGCTTGAACTTATAACCGCGAGATCAAGAGTTGCATGTTCTACCAACTGAGCCAGCCAGTTGCCCCTGTTGTCTTTGTTTTCAAAATGAAAATTTAGGGGAGCCTGGGTGGCTCAGTCATTAAGCGTCTGCCTTCAGCTTGGGTCATGATCCCGGGGTCCTGGGATTGAGCCCCACATCGGGCTCCCTGCTTTGTGGGAAGCCTCTTTTCCCTCTCCCACTCCCTCTGCTTGTGTTCCCTCTCTCGCTGTGTCTCTCTCTGTCAAATTAAAAAAAAAATGAAAATTTAAAAACAAAATTTTCTTTTTTAATATTCTTCTTTTAAGTTTTTATTTATTTATTTATTTAAGTAATCTTTACACCCAACATGGGGCTCAAACTTATGACCCCAAGATCAAGAGTTGCATGCTCTTCTGACTGAGCCAGCCAGGCACCCCAAAATTTTCTTATAGTTCACAATTGCTAGATTTTATTTACTTATTTTTCTATTAATTGTGCACAATTAGAAGAGAGACCCCCAAAAGATACTCTTGTAAGATACTCTCTATGTGGCTATGGCTTCTCCTTTGGGGTCTTCACAGTGATGAAGTGGGAAGTTCCATAGCCAAGCCCCCCAACATTGCAGCCCAACCACAAAACTCTTTTCAAACTGGTGGATTGCTTTAGGATATCAGTCAGTGTTATCTTTTTTGTGGAACCATAGAAGGTAGCACTCTAGACCCACTGTGCAACTGTTGTCCTTGGACTGCTATTCTCTATTTCCTGGGAATCCCTCTATTGGACTTCTTGGTTCCTGAATCTCATGTGTTCCTCTGTTGACTAACTCCTTCGTTTGGATGAAATATATATTTCAATAGCTTCCCCTAAAATGGTAAGTGATTTGAAATCCTGCATGTCTGAAAAGGTCACTGTTCTACCCTCACTCAGATGATAGTTTGGCTAGGTATAGAATTCTAGGTTGGAAATATTTTCCTGCCAAATCTGAAGCCACCTTCCCATTGTCCTCTGGATCCCAGTGGTTCTATTAAGGAGTCTAATGCCATTTTGTTTTCAATCCTTCCATGTGAGACCCTTTTATTTTTTCTTGGAGAGGGAGGGGAGATGTCAGAAGCTTTTAGAATCTTCTCCTTATCTCCTGATGCTTTAAATCTCTCAATACTATGTCCTAGTGGGCGCCTGGGTGGCTCAGATGGTTAAGCGTCTGCCTTCGGCTCAGGTCATGATCCCAGGGTCCTGGGATCGAGTCCCACATCGGGCTCCCTGCTCCTTGGGAGCCTGCTTCTCTCTCTCTCTTTCTCTTTCTCTCTCTGTCTCTCATGAATAAATAAATAAAAT